CTTTGTTATATCGAGATAACGAAATAATAAGTCGTTATCACGATATAACAGTGCATAAAAAGAAAATCCATGGCTGTTCACGGCTTCCGTACAAAGGCGTTTCCAGCAAGTCAAATAACTGTGATCGCCCAGAGGTCAATGAATACCTAGTCTCTCCTCTCTCTACTTACAGAAGCATATTTATACCCAAAGCTTTTAATAAGATATTTTTCCCCAGTTTGAATAAACACTCTCTCTGTGGTAATTTGACTCAAAAAGGGGAATGACTTTAATACGCCCTCCATACACTGATGCTCCATGTTTTAAAAGACATCAGAACACTTCACAACGTACAAAGAACCTAATTGTGGAAATAGTTGTAATTTGCATTTTGCTTTAGTGTAATATATTCCAGAGGGTTTGTCTGTTATTCCATTTGTTAGCCCAAACGTTTCCCCTCCATTGAAACCCCCTGTGGAATTATGTCATAGACATAAACACTGAGCAGGACTTGTAATAATGTTCCAGTTGACATTATAATCAAGTCATGCCACCTTGAAGTGTGGTGTCCTGCTATAGACTGTGTATTTTAACTGTATTACATATTATGACCCTTCAGTTCAAGTTTTGGAATACAACCTCACGCAACCATCATAAAGACATGTAAAGTGACCCTTTTCAATAAACAATTACCCAACTCATTATTATAGGGCGGGACAGTTAGTGCTTGTTGTTTTGTCCGTGCTGGGATTGTGTTTTGGAGCGGTGGCAAGGAGAGGACCTTTGATATAAAATAACACAATGTGCAGTCACCATTTGCCACATTTCTTTCCATGTAACAAACAATTATTTTCAGGAAGTGCAGGAGGAAGTGATCCGTGTTTGTCAGTATGACAACATGGTTAGCATGTGGTTTTTGTTCATGGATGGGTGTTCACAGTCACTCATGTTAACTGTGTTTAAGTGGTCATTTTTGTTTGATATGGAAACTAAGCAACCCTGTCTCCTATTATTTATGGTAAATGGCAATGATGAATTACTGTAGTGAAGTGGAGGCTACGGTGGTGGAGAAGTTTGCACCTCTTTTCCTCTAGTCTGCCTTCTCCCATCACTGTGACATGCTGATGTGGAGGCTGAGGTAGTGTCAGGATTTCCAATCGTTCCTGTGTGCGCTGAGGAGAGGTGATGTGGATGTGGCTAAGAAGGCTAACAGACCACATTTGCGCCATTGAAATTCTTCAGTGTCTAAACAGCTGCACTTCCTTATTTTCTATTAAGAACAACAAGACTTGGCACGGTTTAACTCGAGCGAACACAAAAACTCCCTCTTTATTTGCCAAACCTAGAAAGCAAATTAAATTACTATAGTATGTCTCCTACAAATAGCTCATGATCTCATTTATCTGATGATGAATCAGTTCTGGTGGACCTTCAGAGTGAGAATCTGGTACTTCCCTGTAGGTCCAGCACCTTCAAGGGGCCATCAATCTTGTGCAGTGTCAGAGATAGCGGTGTCTGCTCAGACAATAACGAACCACTGGCACCATTCTTGAGTAACCCAGACTGGGACCTCTTCAGGAAGCACATACAAGTGTCTCTGAGAAGCAGACATATCTGATTTGTTTTAAAAAGGGAGGAAATAAATCAGATTATTGCTCTGTGTATTTTTTCAAGTAACATGAGAACGTTGGAAACGCTCAGCGAAATGATATCCCATGCAAGAGACTTGAAGATGTGCGTATCATTTCTACTTCTCTTTTGAAAAGTAATGATGATGAAGTTTTGTACAGAATAAAATAAATGTAGGAGGGCATTGTTGGGAAAAGGAAATCATTCTCTTTTTCTATAGTGCAGTTTCTCCGCACGAGCATAAAGGAGGGCATGACACAGATATTCATATATTTAACTTGAATGAAATGTTACTGATCTTTGATACTGATACTTATTTGCTTTGCTAAATTATGGATAGACATTTAAACTATGTATTGTGTTCTACAGAGAGCGGGAGAGCAAAAAGGCCATGGCACATGCCAGACAAAGTCTTACCATGTCCTCTTGGCAAGACTCTTCAACATTCATCATCACAGCTCATCATCAAATTAGCTCTAGCAGACAAACTGGCATACAACCATACTGGCAAAACATAACAACAAAGTAAACACTGTGAGATCATGTTTCAGTTGAAGGAGAAAACCATTAGACTACAGTGTGTGCACTTTGCTAAATGAGTGTCATGCTGTACAAGGGCATTTGACATCCACCGCCTGCTGGACTATTTCTTGGCCAGTAAGTGACTGGAATCTCTGCTGGTTGCCTGGCAACTGCTCAGAGCCAAGAAACATTATTCTCCCCCCATAAAACAGCAAATTGTTGTTTTTACACTTCAGATATAACATATTAATAAGCAAACTTTAGAGGTGCTGGTAGGCAGATTTTCTTAACTTTGGACAGATTCATTCTAGCTGTTTCCCCCTGTTTTAAATCTTTATGCTAAGCTTAGCTAACCAACTGCTGGCTGTTGCAATATATTTAGCAAACATATATGACAGTGGTATCCTCTCACCTGACTCCGCTAGAAAGTGTACTTCCCAAAAAAAAAAAAATAGTTTTAACTGAAAACTATTCTTCAACTTTTCTTGAATTCAGAGTCACAACATGACTGTGACAGCAAGCCACAACTTAAATTACAAAGTGTTACAAATTTAAAAGGAACATTTTGACTCATTTTACGAAGAGGTCCATTTAAATCCACACTCGAACAAAGTATATGGACACCTACACATTACAGGAAGGCTTTCCACAAGATTTTGTAATGTTGAGCAATAAGACCTGGCTCACAGTCGTTAATTCATCCCAAAGGTTTTAGATGGGGTTGTGTAAGGTCTCTGTGTAGGTGAGTCTAGTTCCTCCGCACCAAATTCAATTTATTTATGGACTTTCATGTACTTTTAGTGCACAGGGGCATTGTCATGTTGAAATAGGTAAAGGTCTTCAACAAACTCTTGCCACAAAGTTGGAGGCCACTATTGTCTAAAATATAGTATGATGTTGCATTAAGATTTAAACCATATACTTTGGGCCATATAGTGTATAACAGACAATAAAGAGTTCATCTTAGTATGAACATCCTGATGCTAGTCCAACAGGCTGTGTCTG